TGCTTTCTCGGCCGCTCGACGGGGGATATATATAAAATTAAAGAAAATTTAAAAGACAGATTTTGGAATAAACACGTTTAAAATAAATTTTCGATGTAGTTCTTGAATATTTACAATGCTAAAAATCTACTATTTCAGGAGCCCACAGTAGTTCTTCAACTTCCTCATTTTGGACCAATATTAATTTCCAATTCATTAATGATGTTTAAAATAGGTAAAATATCCCTTATTGAAAATGCCAGTGACAATAGAAGCGGTAATTTCGAGTATTTTTGCATTGCAATTGAGATGCTTTGGCATTAGTCTTCAGATGTCGAGTTAAACTTTCGTTTGCGTTCCGAGTATATCCAGACATCGCCTTAACAGTATGATCTATGTAAATAGGAATCAAATGCTTTTCAATATCTCGATAACTATACTGTCGCGCACCTATATATCTGCGCGCTGCGCTCCCATTAGAAGCGTTTATGATATACGCAGCTCTGTAATTGGCTGAAAGTAATTCTTCATTTCTCACATTTTAGTAGCAAAAAAATTGTAGTTTAGTATGTTTCGATAGTATAATGTCTCGGGATTATTTTGGCACCACAGACTTCTATAAATAGACTGCCAACTTCGCCTCCATGTTTGAAGACAACGCCATATTTGTGTTTACTCACTCTCACATATACAAATCGGATAATAATGTTAGGGTTTTCATATAATATAAATTCACGCGATATTCATAGACAGGACGCATATATATACATAACTGAAACAAGGACAGCTCGGAATCAGATTCATCTCTTTCTATCATTGAGTCAGCAGTCTAGTTATAGAAGTCTGTGTTTGGCACCAAATACATGCTAGCAAATAATTCTGTAGAAAAAAGAAACTTGAAGCGCAACGCGGAGCACGCCAGGTTAAACTATTTGTTTTTCACATGTTACTTGACAAAAAAAGGTTTGTTCATATTTCGATAGTATGTTGCTTGGAGAACATTTTGGTACTAAATGTTAGGGTCATCGGCGGTTGCTCTTCTTTTCTATACTTTTACCAAATTATCAGTATTCTTGCTCTCTATTGCCATGCTTCCAGTCAAGTAAAATAGATAATAAATGTATGTTTTTATTCGCGTTAATTTTTATCTAAGGTATTATTATTTTTATAAATCATACTTACAATTAGATTTTATTCTTATAATTGTTTCCTATATTCTCAAATGCATATATAAAATAGACTTTCCAGTTTCTTATACGAATAGCGAAAAATCTTGTAGACATAAGTTTACTGTTATATATATTATTAAAAAAGGATACATTATCTCTAAGAAAGGACATTCTATTTTTAATTCAACCTCTAGAAAATTCTTACATCTTTTCACTTTTCTTAAATCTCTTGTCACATAGGACATAGCAAAATATCCTTTAAAAATTCTCTTTCAAATGATTTTTTTACACGAAAATCTCTGAAACTTATCTAACTCACTATCTAACCTATCGACTCATTGTCGATAGAAAGTCTATGAAATGAAACACGAAGGCGGTGTGTTTCGTGTGAAACATTAAACTCCTTTTAAATGCCACAGGTTCAAATGATCCAAGAGCAAATGGATGCTTTAGCGGATACTAAGTCGGTCGGTGAGGAAAGGTACGCTCGAGCGAAACAAGAAAATGCAACATTACAGGCGCGAATATTGATGCTCGAGGAAGCGGCCAAAGATGCAGAAACGAGAGCCGAAGAGAGGCTTCAAGTAAGTAACTCGATCGATCGATATAGATCGGTGAAAATTATTCGCAATTAAACATCTAGTATAAAATCTAGTATAAAAAAAGGAAAATTTATAATTTGTAAAGTCCATTATAAATGTATATCTTTTTTTTAAATATGTATATTATATATTTTCATATGCATATATGCATATACGTATATAACTTTATACAATAAAATCATGTTTCTTTCATTTTTATAAGATATTTTGCATTTTGAATTCGATATCGAAAACAATTGAAGAACATAATTTTTGTTTTCTGTGCTCTTCAAGGATTCTCTATAGTATAGAGTCTATACGATAAGATGACGTTATAAGTCTTTTTTAATCGCAAAAAAAGTGATTATACTTTATTTAAAAAAAATTTCTCCATATCTCACAGACTGAGCAACGAAGACATCGGGAATGGGCGTGTCGAATGGAACGGGAACGTCAGCTGCAACTGGAAAACTATGACATTAAGCTACAAGCAGCGGAGCTGGACAATTCCAGTTTGCGGGAGGAGATTGCGCGAATACGCGAACAGCTCGAGACAGCGAGGACGGATAAAGCGCAGCTCGAGAATGATCTCCGGGAGGCCAGAAGAGAAGCGGACGCCGCGCGCGAAAGTGAACGCCATGCGATAAGCCGAGCTAACGAGGCTCATCATATGCTCGATGTTATGAGAGAAGAACTTTCGTTACGGAACGAGGATCAGCAGAGGCTTGAAGAACTGGTGCAGCAGGTGGTTCAACTTCAAGCTCGCAATAAAAGTACGTTCATGCACTACGAAACTATTAATTGGATATCGTGAGCTTTCGGAAGTAGTTCGCTCCTTAAGCATTCCTATCATAATAAAAACTGCATTTCGAGCGTATCTAAATTGATTCGTTAAGATAAATTTTGTTCTATATAATAGTATTATATTTATCGATTTGTAGGCTTGGAAGAATCTCGAGATGAACTGCAAGCTGCTGCAGCGTTGCAGGCAGGCCGTGAACTTATAATGCTGAATCCTTGTAATAATAACGCTGAAAAGGGTCCTAGTCTTGCTGTGGAATTGTTAGCCGGCATGAATCCAGATCAGGTATTTTCTTAAGATATATCGAATCTATTAATTGTAACGAATGAATATTAACAATTTATATTAACATCAACTTCTTTTTCTCATCACCTTACAGATAGATGGCAAAGGAGAACTCAATGAACCGTGCACGATGGCTGAAGTATGTATCAAAGCTTAATTCGAAATTTTGCTTTGGGAACGGCATAATTAATTCTTATATTTATGTTACAGTTAAAACAAGCTCTAAAGGAACAGCAAGAAGTGAACACGCAATTAAGAACATACATCGATGGAATATTATTGAACATCGTGGAAAATTATCCGCAATTGTTAGAAGTGAAACAAATGCACTGATACATAGCACATAATCGATCATTACATTCTGTTTTAATGCTTTCAAGGCAGTTGTACATTAACTTTCTTTTAATTAAAGAGATTCGAGGGGGCTGTCTAGAACTTGACCAACATTGATATGTTTTACATATTAATATTTTCGAATAGTATTTGAATATGTAGCGCAAAAGCGCACTTGGAAGTCAATTGTTAACTAAAATCTAGCCTTTTTAAAGCAATAGTTTCCCTCGCTTAACGCAAAACTCTGAAAGACGTCCAACTAACATCGCAAAAGGAGCCTTTTCTAATTATAAATCTTAAGACATTTCTTCAGGTTTTTCTATTTATCTTATCAGAATCAAAATTCGTATGATCGTTTAAGCTCTAGGCAGCGACCATCTCTGTACGTCTAGAAAAAAAAGAGTAATAAAATGACGCTATTGTAGTTGCAGCGTATACTGCTAATGATACAAAAGGGAGAATATTCGACTGGTGTCATATCTCTGAGATGTCATACCATTCGCAAATCTATGAGCCGTTTTTTTCCACTGCCGTCAAACTTTGTCGCGCTAGTATCATCATTGCCAGAGTGGTGAACAAGTTACGCTTCTCGGATTCTTTACATGTCATCGGCTGGCCTAAGCACTTTGCTATACGCGATATCTTTAAAGTACTCGTATATTAATGATCATATATGATTAATCCGAATGAATATACAGGGTATCCCCTAATTATTGATGCAGCGCTCGTATGCAGATAGAACGGAATAAACTAAGTCGAAAAGTTCTATACTATTTTGCAATTTTCGTAACAGTTAACGAGAAATTATCTACTAAAAGTAGTCCTGAACCCGCTCTGAACTATGATTGTCCCCCGTCTTTCTTATTGAAACGAAATCTTCTAACAGCACAGAAAAAATGTATTTAAAATTAAAGTAGTATACAAGACTTAATTAGCGATTACTAGTAATTAATTTCTCGTTAACTATCATGAAAATTGCAAATCAGTACAAGACTTTTGGAGTCAGTTGGATCCGCTCTGCTTGCACACGAGCACTGTATCGACAATTAAAATTAGGGATCACGTATGTATATGTATGTCATGTATCTGGACACGGTCTCGACGCTAAGACATGGCGTGAGACACTGTCGTGCTCCTTTACCCAATCAGCGAGTTGGATTGAGATTATCGGTACATATATACGTCATGTATACGTACGTGTACGCGCGTATGCGATAACGAAGATGACATAACTGCAGACTGCATATGTCGCGAAAACTGTGATGCATTAGAGTACCTTTTCATTGAAAATTTGTGTCTTGGCTACACACGCCTACAATATATCCTACGGGCAACTATCTTGTATTCTAGATCTTTATATCGAAAGCTAGTAAAATTACAATAAATGATTCTATTTTGATACTCGTTTCGCCTCCTTTCCCGCTTTCCGAAAATTGATTTTGATTCGAGAAAGTTGATCGATACTTCAATTTCCGCCATCTAGGCTCGAATAAATCTCTTATTGGAACGTGTTCTAATAACTTCAATGATTTCAAAAAAAGAAGGATTCGATCGAGGATTTCGAAAAATATGTCCCCCGGAAAACAAATTTTTACGAAGAAGTATAGAAAAATTACATAGATTGAGACAAGATCTCAGAATTCTTAATTTTCCAGAGATATTCGTAGTGGGACGTAGAGTGATACTGTTTGAGGGTAGATTTCTAGGTTTTTCAATCTTCAAACAAACCTTCAAAAACACCGCTCTATGTCCCTCTACGAATATCTATGAAAAAGTAATAATTTATAAGATCTTGTCCCAATCTATGTAGTTTTTCGTAAAAGTTTCCGCCTGGGTGCGTTTCAACTTTCGCTATTCGTTAAAATAAGGGCGATTCAAAAATTTCTCTACATGAAAAATAACTTTCTAAATAATTTTGTGAACTTGCTGCAAGACACAATCTACTAAGCGAGGAATTTTATTAGAATATTTCCATTTTTCTATCAGCAAGAAAATGTGGCATCACTTCGTTATAATATCCACATATACTGATTGAATCAGTAGTTTTTGAATTTCTAGACTTCTCTAAGATCTTCAACTTCAGTTTATTTGGTTTTTAATAAAATTGTAATTGTTTGAAAGCCATAATGTACCAAAAAAGAAACAGAAATCATAAAGAAACATATTGAAAGTGTAATTATGTATATAGCACCAGATTTGTTTACGCTGCTTTTTCGAGAAATGCTCAAAAATTTTTGCACTTAAAACGACATAAATATATGTACATTCAGGAGAGAGAAAGTGAAGATTTTGAATGCAAAAAGTGCAAGCAACACGAACAAATCTAGCGTTAAAACGAATTCATTATAAAAGTGCTTCCAGACAATTTGGCCAACATAAGTCAACTTTGCATACATTCACTAAATTGGTCTACATTCATGGATAATTGTGCATGTGTGTGTCTGTATGTGTGTAATATTTGACAATCTGGCATACATTATCCATATCGTCTGGAGGCACCATAAATGAAAGAGAGGCCAATTCGCGTTTTCGAAACAATCGCATGTTTAGAGTATACGGAGTAGTAGTTTGTTAAAAATATAAATAAAGACAAGTTTGTTAAAAAATGATTACTACGTATGTAATCCAAAAACCTTATAAAAATTTCAAATTATCTTGTATAGATAATTATGTCTGATAATTATGTTTCAAAAATGAAAAGAATTAATTTAAATAATAAGAATTTAAAAACTTGTTAAATCTTTATTTAAGAGTATACTATGTAAAACTCAGAGCAGACCTTTAAAACATGTTCTAAGGACATCCTTTATTAAAATTTATTCCCAATTGATCAAATAATATTATTAAACCATCAATCTAATTTTTAATAAATAATACTCTATTATTATCCTCATGATATTCTCAATTTTTCGAAAGATTCGAATTTGTATAAAGTGTGTGCATTCGAAAGTATCTTCGTACGTACTGCATTAAATTAAATTCATATGCACAATATATACAATAATAAGGAGGCATATACGATTAAATTGTTTCGCAATATTAAGAAAATTTGCATGTATATCTTTATATAAAAGATGTATAGAATATTATCAACTTTTATTTAAGTATGAAATATTTAAAATAATAATGAAAATTGAGACATAATGTTAGAATATCAAAAATACCTCACACGAATAATTATTAATTACGTTTAAAAAAATCGCGCAAGTAATATAGAATTGAACAAGTGCCAGAGATGTCACACAGCAAAGAGCAGAAACATACGATGATACCCGATAAATAAATTTTAAGACCACCTTAAGTAATGTCCCAAGATGTTAATACAGCTTTCTGATTGGTTCGTGACATCTTAAGACTATGCTTAAGACGGTTTTAAATAGAGACCTGACTATAAATATAGGCAGAGAAAAATCTGAATCTTGATTAATTTGATAGTTTTTTTTATTATTTTAGCGATTTATTTCCATCAGGAGCACCGCAAAAAAATGGATATTGTTGTGTAGTTTACATCCACTTCTTCAGAGGGCAGTGTTCGAGGCACTTTGCGGTTACAGGAAAAAAAGGCCCTCATATTCTTTCTCAAGTTTCTCTCTGGTAGGAGAGAGCATATTGACCTAGTTTACATTATGCACTTGATGCGGGTGCTAACTAGTAATTTCTTAAATTATCTTAATTCCGGCGATACAAGTAAACATATTATACATAATATATGTATTTAATTATTTTGCATATTATAGCAATTTAATACATCATTCTTTAAATTAAACATTGTCGAAATTAAGATAATTTAATAGAAAGTTACTGGTTAGTACGCGCGTATTAAGAACTCGATATTAAACAAGGCCTATGCGACGCGAACAAACCTTTTTGCAACTATTAGAATTTATCTTCGCTGATAGGACAATTCCTCTAAATCAAAAAGTAATAATCCAATCACCACGAAAGAAACTTCCAATAGTTGCAAAATAAACATTCTGTATATGTACATACACATATAGACCAAAATTTGACTTTTCACGCTCTAAAAAAAAAGTTACATAATCGCTACCTTACTGAACACGATCAATTTTAATATCTTAATTGGTGAAATAGTTTAAGCTTTCCCTTGCTTTTTTTTTCTGCCAAATTTGATTATTTCAAAAATGTTAGTTAAATGCAAAAATGTGTCGAATGAGCATTTTACTTTATCATACGGAATATCAGAGTTATCTAACTATATCGGAGCATGTTCGGATTCTCATCTGAGTGTTCTCTGGGTGTTCAACAAACGTTAAATAAGGATGACATGACACCCGAAGAGCATCCAGATGGGAATCGGAACACGCCTCTAAATAATTACCTTTTATTCATTACAGAATTCATCAACCGCACTCATTACTCGATTACTCCAAAGAAGAGTAAGACTAACCGTTAGTCATAATGATTATTTTAAAGACTCTAATTGCTGGAGGACAAATATGCCTCAAAAGATTTTATGCTACAAGTCCAAAATTTTTTGAAATTACACAAGACAATAATACAGGTAATACTGCTATTTCCATCGATGCTTAATACACGATTTTTCCTTTCAAACTTTATTTCATTGACTAGGTATCGAAATTATATCTATGGCAAGAAAACCTGTTAACAGCTTGAATACAGAGACGTTAAAGGAACTAAAGGCATTTTTATTGGAGGCCCAAAACAATCACATCAAAGGCGTTATATTAACATCGTCCTTGCCAACTGTATTCTCGGCAGGATTAGACATTATGGAATTGTTTAATGATAAAGAGAAACTTACTGATTTTTGGCAAACATTACAAGACACTTGGCTGACTCTTTACAGTTTGACTATACCGATTGCTGCTGCTATTAATGTACAGTCTTTTAAGTTACTACTAGCTTTACTAGCACTTTACTAGCATATCTCTGCAACATTTAATATAATATTCCTTTCTATGAAGGGCTCTAGTCCTGCTGGAGGCTGCCTGTTGGCAATGTCTACGGAATATAGAGTCATGGTTGAAGGCAAGCATACTATAGGCTTAAACGAAACGCAATTGGGTATAGCTGCTCCAAAGTGGTTCAAGGATGTATATATCTCGTTAATTGGCTATCGACAAACTGAGCTGGCGATTTTAAGGTATGTAAGATATTGAATAAATACGTATATATAAATATATAATATGCTTAAAAAATGAGAGATACATGACAAGATTTTACATTATACAATTATTATATTTTAGAGGAGCGATGTTTAAGCCTGAGAAGGCATTGCAGCTTGGACTCGTGGATGAGCTCGCTAAAGATAAAATGGATGCGATAGAAAAGTGCAAAAATTACATATTATCTTATGATAATATATCAGGTAAAAATACTGGACTGTAGCATCTTGTTTAGTAGACACTAAAACATTGTACAGACATACAAAACAAAATTTAATATTTGATCCGGAGATTAATGATATTCTTAAGTATTTCGACGCTCTGAAACCGAATTTGATGTTGAAATGTCTTTATCACGTCACAATTTGTTTTATCGACTGAAAATACCTCAATCTTTCATTTATTTTTATTAGAACCACTTATGACTTGATTTTTAATATGCAAGCGATAAGTTAAAAATATTGAAAATCGAGTTATTTTTGTGACATGATAGAGCAATTTGGATATTGAATTCGATTTTAGAACATTAACATACATAAAAATACCATGGTTTAACTTTTCCGGATCAAAAATTTCTTTTGTCTGCGTTATTAACTATATATTGTTATTGAAATAAAGGTTTGGCAAGGACCACCACCAAGATAGAGTTGCGAAACAACTTGATCGAGTGGATGAAAAAAAATAAGAAAGCTGATACTGATAACTTCATAAACTATATACAATTACCGAAAGTACAAAAAGACCTTAAACTTTATATTGAATATTTGAAGAAGAAACAATAGGTATCTTGAGACAATATTTGTTACATTCTTACTAATCAAAGCAAATAATTTTGTAAACGTTTATATTATATCTTAGAATATATTTTCATACTATATATTAACAAATGTGAAAGTGTCACTCGTATTTATTACCCATATTTTATTACATATAGTCAGAAGAAAAATCATGTTAATTATTAATTCTCTAATATATACAATATTGGATTGAGGAAAAAGTTCTTTTACATAATATTAGAGCATAATTGAAACATATTTTTTAAATTGTTTACAAATCTTTTATTAAACTAAATATAATATATGCCGTTTGATCTATGCCATTTTTCGGGTAAAAAATTCCATCGGTGTAGAACTTTTATGCTCTGTAAAAAACCGAGATAACTTCTAAAAAGACTTTTCCGCATTCCAATATACATACCGCTCACGAAAGTTCGGACATTCGCATAAATTTTATTGAATAATCATGTAAAAAATA